GCAGGAGCACGCACGACCTGGTGGCCATGGATGGCTGGCTGTACGCCGTGGGTGGCAACGACGGCAGCTCCAGCCTCAACTCTATCGAGAAGTACAACCCGAGGACCAACAAGTGGGTGGCCGCGTCCTGCATGTTCACGCGGCGCAGCAGCGTGGGCGTGGCGGTGCTGGAGCTGCTCAACTTCCCGCCGCCTTCCTCGCCCACGCTGTCCGTGTCGTCCACCAGCCTCTGACCTCCGACTGCGCAGAGGCCCCGCGGCCGCCCACATGCCTTAAGCCCCACGGGGCGGCTCCACTTACCGGGGCGGGGTCCACGGCCCCTACCAGAGACCTCCCGCGCGTGTGTCCGCGTCTCTGTTCGTCCCTCGGTGTTCGTGTGTGTGCCGTTTATTTATTTACTCGTTTATTTATTCGTTATTTATTGGGGGAGAAGTAGAGCTGCACCTGCCAGGTGATGCGCTTACTGGGAGGGTCTGGCTCCCCTGAGTGTCCGGGGATCAAGCTGCCCCCCGGGTGTCCTCCCACCCCCTGCCTTGGGGGCCGCGAGGAGTGACAGGGCTGGAGCCTCACGCTGCGCGGGGCTCAGCGGCCCAGTCGGACTCTGCAGACCGCGGGGCGGGTGCAGGGCTGCCTGCCTGGGCTGGTGGAGTAGGAGGGGGCAGGGGCTTTCTCAGCAGGTGCAGACCCCCAGCCCGTGCTTTGCTCCCCACCCTCACCTCGCCCAGCCAGGCACTGTCCCCGGGAAGGGCGTGAAGCAGGCTTCTTTCTTGTGTCCCATGTAGTATGGTGTCTTTTCTGGATCTACGTGGAGCTGGGCACAGAAGTGCACACAGACCCTACAATAGCAATATGAGCCAACTTGGACAATAATAAATGTTTCTTGGGCTCGTGGGCCTGAGGCTGAGCGTCCATTTCTGGCCCCTTTTGTCCTCTCTGCCTTGTGGGGCTGCAGTGCAGCTTAGGGTCCTGTCTGGCGGGGGAGCCGAGCCGAGGGTCTGTGGGTGGTTGTGCAGCAGTTGAGATGCTGCATTGGTGTGTGGGGGCTGCAAAGCAGCACCTTTGCTTCCAGGTGGGTCAGGGATTGTGGTGTCTGCCGTTTGCTGCCAGCCTGAGAGGTCCCTTTCTCACTCTGGGATGGGGGCACATGTGGAGGACAGGTGTGAACAGCATTGCCCACACCTCACCATTGCTGTCTTGGGCACCTGGGGGCATATGGCCTCCTTCCTGGATTCTGGTCAGGCCTTGGGGACCCTGACTTGGGCCTGAGCTGCGAGTTGGCCCCGTGCAGGAGATGAGGCTGAGAGGACACTTCTGGATTCCCCAGTTGCAAACTCCTATTTCAGCGGCTGAGTGAGCACACACCCCCTACAGTCACGACCTCCGACTGCGCAGAGGCCCCGCGGCCGCCCACATGCCTTAAGCCCCACGGGGCGGCTCCACTTACCGGGGCGGGGTCCACGGCCCCTACCAGAGACCTCCCGCGCGTGTGTCCGCGTCTCTGTTCGTCCCTCGGTGTTCGTGTGTGTGCCGTTTATTTATTTACTCGTTTATTTATTCGTTATTTATTGGGGGAGAAGTAGAGCTGCACCTGCCAGGTGATGCGCTTACTGGGAGGGTCTGGCTCCCCTGAGTGTCCGGGGATCAAGCTGCCCCCCGGGTGTCCTCCCACCCCCTGCCTTGGGGGCCGCGAGGAGTGACAGGGCTGGAGCCTCACGCTGCGCGGGGCTCAGCGGCCCAGTCGGACTCTGCAGACCGCGGGGCGGGTGCAGGGCTGCCTGCCTGGGCTGGTGGAGTAGGAGGGGGCAGGGGCTTTCTCAGCAGGTGCAGACCCCCAGCCCGTGCTTTGCTCCCCACCCTCACCTCGCCCAGCCAGGCACTGTCCCCGGGAAGGGCGTGAAGCAGGCTTCTTTCTTGTGTCCCATGTAGTATGGTGTCTTTTCTGGATCTACGTGGAGCTGGGCACAGAAGTGCACACAGACCCTACAATAGCAATATGAGCCAACTTGGACAATAATAAATGTTTCTTGGGCTCGTGGGCCTGAGGCTGAGCGTCCATTTCTGGCCCCTTTTGTCCTCTCTGCCTTGTGGGGCTGCAGTGCAGCTTAGGGTCCTGTCTGGCGGGGGAGCCGAGCCGAGGGTCTGTGGGTGGTTGTGCAGCAGTTGAGATGCTGCATTGGTGTGTGGGGGCTGCAAAGCAGCACCTTTGCTTCCAGGTGGGTCAGGGATTGTGGTGTCTGCCGTTTGCTGCCAGCCTGAGAGGTCCCTTTCTCACTCTGGGATGGGGGCACATGTGGAGGACAGGTGTGAACAGCATTGCCCACACCTCACCATTGCTGTCTTGGGCACCTGGGGGCATATGGCCTCCTTCCTGGATTCTGGTCAGGCCTTGGGGACCCTGACTTGGGCCTGAGCTGCGAGTTGGCCCCGTGCAGGAGATGAGGCTGAGAGGACACTTCTGGATTCCCCAGTTGCAAACTCCTATTTCAGCGGCTGAGTGAGCACACACCCCCTACAGTCACTGGTGACTCAGAGACGGGAATTTAGGTGGAAACAGGATGTGTGCTTATGCTGGGGAGGGTGAGGGCAACTAGAAGGGGGTCCGCTGCTGAGCTTCAGCACCCAGGCACTCCCAGCCTGAACACAGGCAGGCGAGGTGCTCACAGACCAGGCCTTCGTGGCATCTCCTGTGCAGGCTGGACCAGAGGGGCTGCCGTCTGCTGTTCCCAAGCCTGACCTGCCCTTCTGGAGGACCCAGGGCAGACAGCTGGAGGGGTCGGGCTCAGGTAGGGGCCAAGTCCCTCCCGGAAAGGCTCCACCCTCGCCGGCCCTTGGGTAGGGGGCAGGACATCCCAGGGCCCCGCCCGCCGGCAGGAGGCGGGCCAGGAGGCGCCAGACAGCGGGACCTGGACCCGTCGACCTGCTTGGCTCCTGCCAGCCGCCGCGCCGCCACCCATGGGGAACAGCCACTGTGTCCCTCAGGCCCCCAGGAGGCTCCGGGCTTCCTTCTCCAGAAAGCCCTCGCTGAAGGGAAATAGGTAAAGGGCGGGGGGTGGGGGGGGCGGCCTCCACCACCCAGGCACCGGGTCCCCTCGCCTGCCTCCAGGGCCAGGCCTTGAGCCCGCCTTCCCTCATCCCCAGAGAAGACAGCGCCAGGAAGCTGGCCGGCCCCGACAGGGACACCGCTGCCGACAAGATCTTCCACTACATCCCCGGGACGGTGAGCGCAGCTTGGTCTGTCTGTGCGGTAGTGCCCGCCCGGCGCGTGTCGTGTCTGCGCGCAGCCTGGGGCTCCCCGCGCCGGTGCAGGGGGATTCGGGTCCAGAGCCCGGACAGGAGGGGACGCCGCCCCGCCCCGCCCCAGGGAGCTCGTCCAGCCGAAAATCTGGGCAGAGGCGAAACTGAGCCGGGGACTGAGTCAGTGGCTGAGGTGGCGCAGGCCGGGCGGGGCTTCCCAGGGGCCCAGCACGCGCGTCTCTGTGTGGTTGCAGGGGTAGGGTGTCACTTTGCTGGTGTCACTTGAGACAGTAAGGGGCTTCGGGGGAACAGTGGGCCAGGCTGTCACCTACTGCATGCCTCGGTTTCTCCCAGGGGTGTCTTGCAGGGAGCTGCTCCTGTGTACTCACAGCCTCGGTCCGCAGCACCCCGCTCCTTCCCCCAGCCTTCCATTAAGGCCACATGGCCAGAAAGTGGCTCCCAAGCACACACGGGGCCACCTTTCTGTGGAAGGAGCGGAAGACTACCCCCATGCCCACCCCCGCTGCTGTGGGACTAAGGGTTAGCTGAGGGGAGAGATGCCCAACCCCTTTTCCTGACGTGGCTGGCATTGGGTTGGGAGAACACAAGGAGAAACCTGGGATGCAGGGCGGATGGGAACCCCCCAACTGCAGCCCCCTCCTGGGGGATGGTGCCCACAGGCGTTGCAGCTGGCATGGGCTTCCAGAGCCCACCTTCCCACGATGCTCCCATCAGATTAGGAAGCCTGTGCCATCCATTCCCTGTCCTACCCACTGAGGTCCCAGTATTCCCTGCAGGCAGGTGCCACCTCAGAGAAGTGGACAGGGAGAGTGTGCCAGGCTGGGCCGTGATGGAATCCCTCTATGTGGCCACATCTCAGACCACAGCTCCCTCTGTCTAGGCCTAGGACACACAGTGTGACCCTGCTGGAGTCCCATGAGGAATGGTGGCCCTACCAGTCCTCCCTCACCAGGACAAAGTAGCCAGAGAGGGGACAGGACACGTTGAACCCCAGAAGGTGGGGCAGGGGGAGAAGCTCTGAGCTGGTCATGGATTGAATTCTCACTGGGCCCTGTGCCTGGGCTCTGCGGTCGATTCTGCACCCAGACTACAAGCTGGCTCTGCCACAGTTCCAAGCTGAGTCCTCCCCCGGGCCCCAAGGCTGAGCGCAGGCCACAGGGCCAGCTGTGAGGCCCTTCCCGATTCCTGGCCTATTTCTCACGGGTGCCATCCGGGCGTCAGCTCCCACACTGGGTGTGGGTGCAGGAGGCCCCACCCAGAGCAGGGGGGCCGAGGAAGCTGTGTAGCTGTCTGTTCACATTCCTGGGCTTGCCCAAGGGGCAGTTCAGCTTGGCCAGGGCACAGCATCCCATGCAGGTGGCCCATGCCAGCTCTCAAAGGGAGTGTGACTCCTGCCCAACTGACCCCTGAGCCCGTGGGTCACAGCCCTTTCCAGCCAAAGGTTATCTGACAATCAAATCCCCCATTTATAGAGGACTCTGTGTGCCAGGATAGGTAGGTGTTGTGGGGACATCAACCCTCTCCCTGCCACCAGCACATCCCAGGTCCTGTGCAAAGCTCTGGGGATACAGCCGTGGACAAAACAGACCAAGCCCCTGTTCTCATGGTACTCCCGTTCGCATGGCAGAGGGTGGCAGACACGTTAGTAGAAGATAGCGGGGGTCTGGCTGTGGCTAGTGCTGAGGAGAAAAACGAAGGAGAGCAGTGACACGGAAGGATCAGGAGAGGCTGGGGTTTCAGAAGGGAATCCAGAAAAGGCCTCATGAGGCCCTGCGAGGTGGTAAGGGAGACAGGGCTGGTGGTCCCAGCAGAGGGAAGAGCAAGTGCAAAGCCCTGACACAGGCTGGACCCCTGCTGGGGGCTGGGGGTGTCAAAGAGAACCCCTGTCCTTGCAGGACCTTGGCGGTCACTGTGAGTGTGGTTCAGGGACACACAGTGGTTTGCTGGAGCGGCTCTTCCCAGCTTCACTGTCACTGACATCACGTGTTGGGAATATTTACACCAAGGAAATTGCAGCTGTTACCAGTCAGGGCCTTGGCTGGTTGGCTGGTTTCTTTGTTTTTTTGTAGAACCAGTTGTTAAGCATTTGCCAGCTGATACCGGAGGCACAGGAGGGTTTTGCCCATTATCTTGCCCAGATTCCCCAAAACTCCTTTGGCAAGTCTCAGGAGGCTGAATATGAAGACGAGCCCAAGCCTCACCGTGTCTAGCACTAGACCAGGTGGCTCTGACTGTGGCGGGGAAGATCTGCGTATGTGTTCTTAGCGTGTGTATCCTGTGGCTGTGGGTGGACAGACCATGCTTGCAGGTCTGTGGCTGTTTATTCACTGGCTGGGGCTGCTGGCCCAGGTCAGGCCCCCCTCCCCTGAGCTCTGCCTGCCCCCCAGGACATCCCAAGCCTGGATAGTCAGCGGGAAAACCTGGAGCAGCCGATCCTGAGTGTATTCAAGAAGGGTCGGCGCAGGGTGCCTGTGAGGAACCTGGGCAAAGTCGTGCACTACGCCAAGGTCCAGCTACGGTTCCAGCACAGCCAGGTGGGGGCCAGGCAGGTGGGTGCATGCTCAGGGGACCAACATGCCACCAACCTGGGGCCTGCCCCCAGATGCTCAAACAGCTGCCTGCTCCCCTCAGGACATCAGCGACTGCTATCTGGAGCTGTTCCACTCCCACCTGTACTTCCAGGCCCACGGTTCTGAAGGACTCACGTTCCAGGTGAGGCGGGTGGCAGAGGGCAGGAGGTGGCCATGTCCCACTGCGAGTCCCTGCAGCCCCTTCTCCCCTGTGCCCCGGCAGGGGCTGTTACCACTGACAGAGGTGAGCATCTGCCCACTGGAGGGGTCCAGAGAGCATGGCTTCCAGATCACAGGTATGTGGGGGGTGCCTCCCGACTCAGGCCCTGGAGTCTGCGTGGAGCCCTCAGGGAACCCCTGGAGTCCTGTGGGCTTCTGGGGGCTCCAGGCTCTGGCCTACTCCAGCCCCCACCGCCCTCACCTGCAGGCCCACTGCCCGCACCCCTCCTTGTGCTATGCCCCAGCGAGGCAGAGCTGGGCTGCTGGCTCTATCACTTGGAGAAGCAGATGGCCCTCATGAGGGGATTGCAGCACTGCCAGTCGGCACCACCGCAGGTCAGTGCCAGGAGCCCCCGCACCCCTCCCCCTGCCTGCCCTCCCGGCCTGCCTGACCTCCTCCTCACCAGGGCCCTCCCGGGGACGAGCTCCCCTGGACTCTGCAGCGGCGCCTGACCCGGCTGCGCACAGCGTCGGGGCGCGAATCGGTGGGCAGTGCCATTTGTGCCTCCAGGGTCAAGCTGCAGCATCTGCCCTCACAGGTGGGTAGGAGGGTGCAGGATGGCGGGTGGTGGCCAGGCCTGGGCACACAGCAGCCCCAGCCCCCACGCCCCCTTTGACCTCTGCAGGAGCAGTGGGACCGGCTCCTCGTGCTGTACCCGACTTCCCTGGCCATTTTCTCTGAGGAGCCAGACAGGCTTTGCTTTAAGGTGGGCCCCTCCCCACCATGGGCCCGCCCCAGGGAGGTGCCCTGAGCCTGAGCGTGGGGGAGGGGGCAGCGACTCAGGAGGAACCTGTACTTCGGGGCCTGTTGGGGCAGAGTGTGTGGCCCCACCCGCCTGGCCCCGCTGCCCTGGTCACCCTGGTCTCAGCTGTGATGTGGAGGAGAGCCTCTGCCCCAGCATCCCATGTCACCCCGGGGGTTACCCCACCAGCTGGGAGTCACACGTGTGCCTCTGAGCAGCGTCTGTCCTGGTGCCTGAGGGGTGTATGGTCGCTCGTACTCTGGTGCAAAGCATGTCAACAGTGAGCGTGCACAGTAATCTCCAGTCGTGAGAAACATACATGGGGGCTTCCCATGATCCCCACCCCGTCTTTGCGGGTTACCCCAGGGGACAGTCCCCAGAAGCATCTGTCTGCATCTGCCATGTGGAGGCCCCACCAGGAAGCCAGGGTGAGATGCCCCCAGGACAGGCGGGAGCCACCCGCCTCCCTTGGGGTGTCGACCTCAGTGCCCAGCTGTCCCAAGTGGCCAACCTAGCTCTGGGGGGCAAGATGGAGAGATGGGGCTGGTCAGGGGCCCAGGGTTGCGCCCCAGATGAAAGCCCTATTCTCACTCGCTGCCCCCACAGGGCGAGCTCCCGCTCAGTGCCATCCACATCAACCTGGAGGAGAAAGAGAAGCAGATCCGCTCATTTCTGATCGAAGGTGGGTCCTGAGCCCAGGCTCTGCTCTGCTGTCCGGCTGGCCATCAGGAGGGGCGGGTGCAGGCCAGGTGGATGCCCAGCAGGGGGCTCTGTGGGCTGCTCCCATCCTGCCAGGCCCCCTCATGGTGTCTGTGTGCCAGGCCGCCTCATCAACACCATCCGAGTGCTGTGTGCCAGCTACGAGGACTACAGCCACTGGCTGCTCTGCCTCCGGACTGTCTCCTGCAGGGACGGGGGCCCCCTGCTGCCCAGCCCTGAGAGCTTCCCCGGGCTGCAGGTGCCCACACAGTGAGGGTCAGAAGGTCCCCCCACAGCTCAAGTCCTGGGCAGTGGTTAAAACAGGGGCATAAGGGTGGGTCCAGATGTGGGTAGGTGGGGAGAGGGGTCCAGCCACCCAGCTCACCCCCTGACTGCCCAGGTGGTGGGCGGTGGCCGAGGCTCGCTCTCCTCAGATGGACGGACCAGCTGGGACTCAGGATGCCCTGCGCCCGCCTCCACACGCACCAGCCATTCCCGCCCTGAGTCCTTGGTGTTGTCCAACTCAAGCTGCCCTGCCCAGCCTGCACCTGTGAGTACCAGGGGGATAGCAGGGGAAGGGGCAGGAAGTCACGAGGTGAGTACGTGTTGGGGAGCATAGTCCTCACAGTACCCCCCACCCCACCCCAAGCTTAGACTCCGGTTCCTCAGGGGAGGGGACACAGACTGGAGGGAGCTCGGTGCAGCCTCAGAGAATTATGTGGGAGAGAGGCCTCAGGGAACTTTCTGGAAGGTTCTTGGTCCCCACAGGACCAGACCAACCCTGACTGCACCAGCGTGGGCCAGCGGAGGGCAGAGCTGAGACATGGTGGCAGCGGCCGGTCACCCAGGAGCAAGGCTCGGGTGGAGGGGCCTGGCCCAGCCGCCCCCCGGCACCTGCACCTAGACCTGACCAAGGTGGGCCCCGGACAGCAACCCTGGCTCAGGGCCCAGCAGTCCACCTCCCTGGCCTCTGTCTCTGGGGTGTCTTGCAGAGAGAAAGGGAGGTTCAGGCTTCTTGCAGCTGGAGGACACCTGTTTCTTCCTCTTCCCTGCAGCTGAGCCTGGCGGGCAGCCCAGAGGCCACAGACCCTGCTCCAGAGACACCACACTCCCCACTCTACGCAGATCCCTACACTCCACCTGCCACCTCCCACCGCAGGATCACAGATGTTGGGGGACTGGATGAGGTCAGTCCCTTTCTAGGTGACAGGAAGGGCTGGATGTGTCCTCAGCCTGAGGTCTGCTCATGCTATGATGGGAGTCCAAGGGGGTTTCTGGGGCAGGGGTCCCTGGGCTTCATGGGGTCTCAGCCCAAGGCCTCCAGGTACCCCCACTTTCCTGGCAGTTCCTCAGCGCGATGCGGAGCTCCCCTGCGCCTGTGCTCTCCAGCCCCTTCCCTTCGGTCCCCGTGTCTGTGCCTGTCACTGATCCTGGCTCCGGACTTGCCAGCTGCCCTGGGCTCCTTGGCCCCCACTTGCTCTCTAAGAAAGGAGCCCTGCAGTCACGAGCCTCTCAGAGGCACCGAGGCTCCATCAAGGGCCGGGGTCCATGGCCCCCAGACTCTCCTCAGCTCGTGAGTAATGGCCCCTGCCCTGGTGTGAGGAGCCTGGGCTCGAGGGGTGCTGTGGGGGAGGAGGGGCAGGCCAAGGCCAGGGACAGGGAAGGGGAGGCTGGCAGGGGATGACACAGGCCAGCGTGAAGGCAGGGTGGGCCCGGCAGATCCGTGGGCTGGTCTCCAAGCTCCCTGCCCAGGTGCTCAGACTTGTGGTTTGGGGTTCTCAGGTCTCCCCTGCCAGGAAAGGTTCTCCCGAGCCCCCGCTGCCTCCCCCAGGTGAGTGAGGGCCCTGCCTGCATTCGGGGTGAGCTCTGGTGCTGCTTTCTGCAGGCTGATGCATCTCTGCCCCGCTCCAGATGACGGGTCCCCCAAGAAGCGCGAGGGCCCAGGCTACGACAACATCTGGGACAAGGCCTCATCTCCCTCCCTCCAGAAGTGGCCGCGGCTTGGAGGGCCTGAGGCCGAGGGGGGGCTCATCCAGTGGATCTGATGCCCGGGGGGCTGCTCTGCAGAACCACCGGCCCCCCTGCCAGTGCCACCCACCCCTCTGGCCCACATCAAATTCCGAGTCAGGGTCTGAGCCCAGCAGGGTCAAAGGGTCTCCCTCCAGAACCCTGAGAGCAGAAGGGCCCCTCCCTGGGCTCCAGCTCCACCTCAGCTGGGGGGCCGGGAGAGGGTCCCCATCCATAGGGATGCCCCGGCCGGCGTGGCTGGACCACAGGTCAGAAAGGGACATCAGAGGGGTCCCAGACATCCCCAGGGGCCAAGCCTCAGCTCTGCCCCCCAGGGAAGTAATGGGAGGGGCCTTAATGGAGGCTCTGGGAATGGGAGGGCGGCATGGGTGTGAAGGTCAGAGGGCGAGAGTCAGAGGTCAGAAGGTGTGAGGGTGTCCCCGCATTGCTGGGTGTGTGGGCAGGGCTGGTCGGGAGACATGGATGCCACCAAGCGAAAGAAAGAAAGAGAAGGAGACTTTATTGGTGCTTTGTGTCCACATGTCCTCCATTCAGCAGCCAGGAGTCTCCCCATCCTGGGGACCTTGTGCTTGCGGCTTAGGCAGGGCACCCAACCTTCCTGGCCTGTCTCTGACTCCTCTCAGCTCGGTCCCTCCACCCAACGCTCCCCAGCTCTGCTGTGGCACCCTTATCCAGGGAACCCAGAGGAGGGGCTTGAGGCTCCGCCTACAGACCCCCACTCTGCAGGGACTGCTGGGGCCCATCTAGGCACCTGCTCATTGCTCAGGATGGAGCCCAAGGGGCCTCGGCCACAGTCCCTTGGGGCTGAGGGGTCAGAGAGACCTTGGAGGCCGTTGCCAGCCCAGCTGGTGTGAGCAAGCAGCGTCGCCCCACCCAGCTCCGAGGCCTCCCAGCATCCTGGCCCCTGCCCCTCCCTGGATCCCCTCCCACTGCTGCTCTGACACCCTCTAACTTCCAGTGTCTTGTCTTTCCACTCACCCCCAGGTACACACCAGGTAAAATACCAGGTGCCCAGTTAAATTTGATTTCAAATAGGCAACAATTTCTTAGTACAGGTACATCCCAAGTGTCGCATGTCTGAGATGCAAACTTAACTGGATGCCTGTGCTTTTATTTGTCTACCTGGCCGCCCTACTGTCTAGCTCCCCGCCGGGCCTTTACCTGCCCACACTTCCAGAATTTCCTCCTCCTGGGGTGGGGAGCAGCCTGGGCCCTGGCCACTAGCTGGACCTTCACATGGAGTCCAAGGGAGCCAGCACCAGGGACGCGGCTCCCTCCCAGATGCTGTAGAGACGGGGTCAGCAGTCAAGGATAAGAGCCGACCCTCGTCCTGGGCACCTGTGGTCACCTCCCGGGCTGGGCTGGCTCCTAGGCACTGGGGCTGGGGCTGGGGCTGGGGCTGGGGCTGGGGCTGGGGCTGGGGCTGGGGCTGGGGCTGGGGCTGGGGCTGGGGCTGGGGCTGGGGCTGGGGCTGGGGCTGGGGCTGGGGCTGGGGCTGGGGCTGGGGCTGGGGCTGGGGCTGGGGCTGGGGCTGGGGCTGGGGCTGGGGCTGGGGCTGGGGCTGGGGCTGGGGCTGGGGCTGGGGCTGGGGCTGGGGCTGGGGCTGGGGCTGGGGCTGGGGCTGGGGCTGGGGCTGGGGCTGGGGCTGGGGCTGGGGCTGGGGCTGGGGCTGGGGCTGGGGCTGCGGCTGCGGTGCCCTCGCCTTGCCTGCCGGCGGAAGTAACGGATGGCAGAGATGGTACCGATGTTGGCCAGCAAAACTGCAAGAGAAGCACGAGGTCTCCTGGGGGCAGCTCCAGCTGGCCACAACCTTCTGCCCCTGTGGCCCTCAGAGGCAGGACAAGGCCAGTGGGGCCGGCAATGGGTCAGAGGTCAGCAAGGGGAGAGGGCAGGGTGGTGGCTCCCTACACACCCTCATCCGCACCCCCCACCGGCTGGCAGGGGACTCTGCACAATGACTTGGTCCGTGTGGCTTCTAATCACCAGCTCCCACCGCCCCCAGGGCTGCAAACCTGTTTTCCAGGCATCTGGGGCATGCAGATCTGACGTCTTCACAGCCCAGGTGGCAAAGGCGACAAACACCAGGCACATGTCCTTCTGGCTGAAGGTCAATGAGGGGAGGGGACCCCGGAGCTCCCCTAGGAAAGAGAGGCCCTCAGCTCCAGCCCCTCCACTCAGAGACACATCTGTCCTATACATGTCTGTCCTGTACACATCTGTCCTGGACACATCTGTCCTCTACATGTCTATCTTATATATATTTGTCCTACACACATCTGTCCTGGACACGTCTATCTGAGTCACGTCTTCCCTGTGGTGTGTGACTGCTGAGTCAGGCTATTATGGATGAGTTGCCTCTGGGCTCCTTCATTTCCTGGTCTGTCCAGAGGACTTGTGAGATGTCATCTCACGGAGCGCCTGATCCCGAAGGCAGGGAAGCCTGAATCAGAGCGTCCCCCCCAACCCCTGTCCCCAATAGAGGCTGTGCCTGGATACAGGACAATGGTCAGTGCAGAGCTGGACCTCTGCATGGCCAGGGCACCTGGCCTGGACTTACCCATCTGGACTGTGTCCTGGGATGACTGGGAGTGGGCCCTTCCTTCCCAATTGGTCCCCAACACCCTCCCCCCATCACCAACTAGCTGATGACTGACGACCCAGGGTCATGGCTGGCCCCCCGTCCAACAACCCTCTTGGCTGAGCTCCCTGGACGTGTTCTCAGGAGCTGGACGGGCCATGGGTCCCAAGCAACACACACCTGCCTGCCTGATCGCCAGGCTGAGCTGCTCCGCTGTGGCTGGGCCAGGCGTGGATGGGATCCCAGACCCCTGCTCCCAAGAGACCGACTTGGAGGCCTCTGAGGTCTGCGGTGGGAGGAAGACAGCCGGCCCCAGCACATCCCCAAACCTGTCTTCCCCAAAGAAGTGTTCGTAGGCCTCGGGGATGGAGATCAGCACAGGGCCTCCAGGGCTGGGGGCTGGCATGGGCTCGGCTCTCGGGGACAGGGCCCGGGAGCAGCCCCCGCAGTGCCTCGGCCTCTGGGCTCCGCAGTCCTGGAAGAAGAACTCACACATGTCCGGCCACTGGGCCTCAGCTGGGGCCTGGCTGTCTGCAGCCGCCGCCTCAGCACCTTTATCATCCTCCTCGATGGTGTCACAGAAAAAGAACTCATAGGCCTCAGGGAGGGTCACCGCAAAGCAGCTCCTGGGCCCAGGCCCCACCGAGGCTGAGGGGGCAGGGGGAGGCAAGTGCTTCAGGATCCGAGGCTGTGGGGGCCGGGGCCCAGCTGCCACCGCATCCCAGGCTCCGGGCCCCCTGCGGCCCCCAGGTGCTGTCCTGGGGGCTGAGGGCCGGGCCGTGGCTGGTGAGGGTGAGCCCGAGGCCTCTCCCGACCTTGGCTCCTCGGTGGGCACAGCCACAGAGAATCGCACTTTCTTCTTCTTGGGGGCTTGGACAGGGCCTGGGGGGGGCTCCCCTGAGTGGGGTCCAGGGGCCTCCGCTGTGGGCTCCCCTCTGGGCTTCTCTTGGTGCCTCCCAGGAGACACAACAAATTCCGTCTCCAACATATCAGGCCCAGCCTGGGGAACGGCGGAGGGGGTAGTGTTAGTTCTGGGAGCAGGTGTAGACACAGCCACGTCAGACTTAGATCTAGAGTGGGGCAGAACTGTAGGTGGCACAGCCATGGAGACAGGTGTGGACGGGTCCACCTCTGGCTTGACCACTGGGCCTGCTGTAGGTAGGTCCACATCCAGTCTGGGTTTGGAGGCGAGTGTAGACAGAGCCGTTTGGGATTGAGGCTCAGAGGCAGGTGTAGACAAAGCTGTGTTGGGTTGAGGCTCAGAAGTAGGTGTAGACAGAGCCACATCTGGCTTAGCCATTGAGACACCCGGATGAACCTCCTGGACAGGTTTGGATGCCGTATGCAGCTCAGCACTGGGGGTCATTCTCATTTGGTCTGTACCGTGCTCAGTTATGGGGACAGGTATAGACACCTGCTCTGGGGGACTGCAGCCAGGCTTAGGAGCTCCTGCGTGGTCTGACTCCAGCTTGTCAGGCCCAGTTCCTGCCATCTGCTTTGCTGTCCCAGCCACAGGACACTTCCCCCTGGACCCAGCCAGGCCAAGGCCTTCCTCAGGCCTGGCCATGGTGGGCAGGAGGGACCCTGGCTGGGCAGGGGCAGGGCCTGGGGCTCCCGAGCGCCCTCCCCAGTTGGCACCCACAGCACGCTTCTTCCTCCGGCTGGGGCTCCGTGGAGAGGCTCCAGGGCTATCAGCGGGCCTCTGGGGGGTGGTGCTGCAGCCAGGGGACTCAGGACTCCGAGGGGGCTCCCCAGGTTGTGTAGAGGCAGAGCCCTGCAGAAGCCTCTGCATCTTGTCTCCAGAGGACACTGGCCCCAGGAGGGGTGAGCACTGGCCAGGAGGGGTGGCACCCGAGCAGAGGGACAGCCAAGCTTCCGAGAGTGCGGACGTGCTGGGTGTCTGCTGACCAGCCCCCAGGGCCAGGACAGGTTCACACCAAGAACTGCTGACCCGCTGGTCGCCCTCCTTGAAGCCCTGCTCGCCCCTCCCCCAAGGAGCCTGCTGCCCAGTGAGAGAGGGCGCAGGCCCAGGAGGACTGCTGCCGCTGCTGTCCCCTTGATCAAGGTCACTGGACAAGAGCTCATCCCCAGAGGCCAAGCCAGCCTGCAGGAGGCCACACTCATCGGCGGTGGCTGAGAACTCGGCCCAGTCCTGGTCACTGAGTTGCACGCTGTACTGGAAGTTGTCCATCTCAGGTCAGCAGAGGCACTGGAGGGGCAGCAGGACTTGGGGCCAGGTGAGGTCTTCACGGATCCAGGCCCCAGGCACCAACCCGGACATGCAGACACCACCCTGCCCGCCCCTGGGGTGCCCCCCACCTCCCGGGCACTGCATCTCCACCCTGGAAGAAAGCAGAAGAGTCCGGAGGGAAAGCCGGCTTCTCCAAACTGGACCGACTCCCTCCTGCAAGTCAGAAAAGCCTCAGCTCCCACTTCCCCTGTTTCCACAAGCACACCAAATGGCAACTTTGTAATGAAACATTGCTACATTCCTAAAATCAAAAACGGCTCTGCTTTGGTGACGTGCACTAAGAGAGCTGCGTTCCTGGCGTTCGCCCCGGCGGAGCTCTGCCTCCCATCTCTGGGCATTTTCTGCTCAGCCCGGCCAGTCGCTCCCTCAACCTTCCTCCAGCTTGTCTACACCAGAGGCCGACTGTGGTTTCAAGGACCCATGGGGCTCAGTTCCCTGGGGTGATGGTTAGCCCTGGCCTGTCCCAACATGCCCCAGGTGGCAACTGGCCATGGGGGGAGGGCTGCCATGCTCAGCCGGTGGCTAGCCTGATGATGACCTTCCACCAGCCTTGTCTGGGACAGGCTGACCGAGATGACCCCTGTCACCGGGCTTCCCCTGAGCTCACCAAGGTCATGCTGGTGCTGGCCAGAGCTAGCTCAGGGGTCAGCAGGGTCGGGCAGGAGGTTACTGAGCAGAGGTGAACCTGCTGACCCCCAGCGGTCCTCTCGAGCCATCCTCAGGGTCAGCACCCCGACGCAGGCCTGCCTGTCTGCCAAGGCCCATTCTTCTGCCCTCTCAGGGAACCATGGTGGCCCTGCTGGCTGAGAGCTTCCAGCCTCTCGAGCCCCTATAGGGAGCTGCCATTTGGCCTTTGGTCAATTACTGCTGGACCCAGCGGACGGGAGGTCACTCTGGTTAGGACAGTCCTGAAAGGAAGATGCCTTGAGACCTGGGCACCATGGTTCCCCACCCACTGACTCTCGCCCTCCTCTTTGGCCCCTCGAGAGGTCTCTGTGGGGACTGTCTGCCATTGAGACCCCTTAGGACAGAAATGAGGAGCTCACCATGTCCTACCTGGGTCCCAGCAGCCAGCAGGGCAGTGGAGCTGAACGTCTGAGCCACCTGTCCCAGAGCGGCATGGTACAGGGCAGGCCACACAGGCTCCACCCTGCTGCCAAAAATACCCCGTGCTTGTGTCACATGTGACTGGTGTCAGCCATCAGGTCCAGGCCACAAATAGATGGCATTTGAGAGGCCTCCAGCTACGTGAGGGACGCCTTCCTGACACAGGACCAGACCCAGGGCTGCCCAGGCTGAGGTCAGGTCAGATGCCGGCCAGAGGATGCTGGCCAGTGATTGGCACTGCATGGCCTCTCTTTCCCCAGCCAAAGATCACTCAGCTTCCGTCTCTCCCTCTGGAATGTTCCCGCCCCACGTGGTGGTGGCCACTGTCACCTGGGCAGGTGTCTGCCTCCCTGGTCTGACCTCAGGGGCTTTGTGAGCCCTGCCTTAGTGGCGCTGCTGAACCTGCCACTGGGGCTGGGGGGCAAGTGGGGGGCCCCCCAAGTGGGCATAGGCCCTGGGCCTTGGGAGAAACTTGGGAGGGGTCAGGGGAAGAAAGTGGCTTCATGCTCCACCAGCATCTCTCCTACCTTGGCTTCTGGGGACGGGACCCAAGGAGCAGGAGGTGGTGGCACAGTCTCTCCCTCCAGGAAAGGGGTCTGGTGCTGCCACCCCCAACGAACTAGTCTCCAGGAGAAGAAGGCTGCGGGTGACTCTGCCTCTGTGCTGGGCCATCCCCTGCTAGGCCCCTCGAGCACGTTTCCATAAACTCACCCATCCTCAGAGGGGCACTGGGAGGACACTGCTTTTATAATTGAGTGTCATGAGGCACAGAGAGGGTGAGCAACTTGCACATGGCCACACAGCCAGGAAGTGGCAGAGTTGAGTCTCCTGCGCTTAGCCCTGCTGCAGCTGCAAAGTGGGTGGGCCCTACCCCACCATCCAGGCCATGCTGACCGTGGGGACATGGGGCCCATTCGTGTGGCAGGTCTGTCCTGTGTGTGAATGTGCCGCTGCACGTCTCCACCCATTTTCCTGTATTTGGACTGTTTCCAATTTGCAGCTGTTACAAACAATACTGCTGTAATCATTCTGGAACATTACTTTTGGCAAAGCTATGTCCACAACCTGGGCCAGTGGGCAGGAGTGGGTGGGTGGAAGGATGGGTGGACAGATGGACCTAAGGATCCAGGAAGTGGGCAGGGACTACGGGGAGGACTCCGTGGGGAGGAGGGTGCATGAGGCGCTCAGCCAGCTGTGCTCCTTGATGCCACTAGAGGGCACCAGGACCCCACCGGGAGCTGCGCGGAGCTCAGTCTCGCTGCCCCTGCCAGGCGCGGGCCCCCAGGTCCTGCCCCTCTCACCCGGAGGGAAAGGAGTGGGATGGAAGCTTCTTGAAGGGTCGCCAGGGCCCTTTTCCTGAAGCCGTGTAGCTCCTTTCGAGTCCTTGACCTGGAGGCAGTCGGCCCTCAAAAATAAGAGCTAACTGGCAATGAGCAGCTATTACGTGCCAGGCGGTCTTGAACAGTACTCAGATGTGGGGTTTTTTCTTTTCATTTTTAACAGCTTTATTGAAGTATAATTAAAGCACAGTAAACTGCAGATATTTAAAGTGTACAGTTTGCTTGGTTTTGATGTATGTTTGCACCGGGGAATCCACCACCGTGATCGAGAGTGAGTGTCTCCCTCACTCCCAAAGGTGCCTGTGCCCTGCATAATTATTCTCTCCCTCCCTTCATGGCAACTTTATTTATTTATTTTTTTAAAGATGACCTGTAAGGGGACCTTAACGCTTGACTTGGTGTTGTCAGCACCACGCTCTCCCCAGTGAGTCCTGGGCCGGCCCAGGGCAACTATTAATCTGCTTTCTGTCACTATAGAGTATTAGGCCTCGTGGCTGGCTTGACACGGGCACAGCCAGGTTAAGCAGCTGCCCCCTCCCCCTGCCCTTTCCCTTTCCTGCTCTGGAAACTGAGCAGCGGATTCCTCTCCTGGGAAGGGGCAGATGTGACCATCATCAGAGGAACGTCGTGGGCTGCAGTAGCCAAGCTCCGGGCTGGAGCGCTTTGCACTGGTGTGGTAGTGACACTAATGAGAAGCCTGTGCCCTAGCCACCCGGGTGTTAGCAGACCACAAGGGCTGTGTCACCTGCACACCACTGATTTCGAAATGGCCCATTACTCTGCCAGAACCCTCAAAGCCTCATAAAGCCCTGCTTTCCGTGGTTTGGGGGAACCGATCTGACTCAGTCTCCCCTCCACGTTAACGGAATAAGGCTTTTTGGCTGAAATGGCGCCTGCTCGGGTCTCTCTCTTTTCCGCATCTCGCAGAACCTGACATAGAGTAGATCGCATTGCCTAGAATCTTATATAAACGAAATCATACGGTATGTACTTGTCTGTATAGTACAACAGAGTACACTATGTCTGACTTCTGTCACTCAGCATAATTATCTTGAGATTCATCTAAACTAGTACATTTAGTAATAATTGTTTATGTTATTATCTTTTTTTAATGAGAAGTGTTCCATTGTTGGATATAACACAATTTGCTTGTCCATTCATCTGCCGATGGACATTCCGGTTATTTCTGCTGTGGGGCTATTACATATAACGCTGCTAGGAATTTTGTGTACAAGTCTTTGTATGGACATATTGCTTTCATTTCTTTTCTTTCTTTTTTTTTTTTTTTTTAAAAGATGACCGGTAAGGGGATCTTAACCCTTGACTTGGTGTTGTCAGCACCACGCTCAGCCAGCGAGCAAACCGGCCATCCCTATATGGGATCCGCACCCGGGGCCTTGGTGTTATCAGCACTGCACTCTCCCGAGTGAGCCACGGGCCGGCCCTTGCTTTCATTTCTCATGAATAAATACTTAGGGTTGGAATGGCGACGTCATATGATAGACTCGTATTTAACTTTTTAAGAAACTGCTGAACTATTTTCCAGTGTGGCAGTCCAGTTTTTCATTCTCACTGGTCCCCAGTGGTTTATGAGATTTCCAATTCCTCCGTATCTTCACCAACTCGTGACATGTGGTTTCAGTTGTTTTAATCTTTCTAATAGGTGTGCAGTGTATCTCACTGTGGTTTTTTTTTTTTTCCTTTTTTTGTCTTTTTCCGTGTCCGGCAACGGGATCGCAACCCTCGGTGTTGCTCCCGCGCCTCGCTCAGCCAGTGAGCGGGAACCGGTCTGTATGTGGGATCCAAACCCTCTGCAGGAGCGCCACCGCACTCCCAAGCGGCGCACTGCAGCAGTGCGCCACCGGGCTGGCCCCTCACTGTGGTTTTAATTGCATTTCCCTAATGACTAGTGATGTTGAGCATCTTTTCATGTGTCTATTTGCCTTCCATGCATATTCTTTGGTGAAATGATGGATCAAATTTTTGCCCATTTTCTTAATTAGCATATTATTGAGTTTTGAGTTTTTAGAAATATATTCTTCATATAAGTCCTTTATCAGATATGTGAATTGCATATATTTTCTCCCAGTCTGTGCTTTGTCTTTTCATTTTTTTATCAGTGGCCCTTGAAAAGCAGAAGTTCTTACTCCTCGTGAAGTTCAATTTATCCATTTTTCTTTCACGCACTGTTCTTTTGGCGTTGCATCTAAGAAGTTTTTGCCTAGCCAAAGATCTCGAAGATTTTCTAAGCTTTTTCCAAAAACTTTTTTTTAGTTTTTATTTTTAAGATAACCGGTAAGGGGATTGTAACCCTTAACTTGGTGTTGTCAGCACCACGCTCTCCCAAGTGAGCCACGGGCTGGCCCCTTTTCCAAAAAGTTTTATAGTTAGATTTTGCATTTAGGGCTATGCTCCATGTTTTTTTTTTTTTCTTTTTGTCTTTTTTCGTGACCAGCAACGGATCACAACCCTCAGTGTCACGTCCACACCGGACCGGGACTGGCAACGGGATTGCAACCCTCGGTGTCGCGCCCGCACCTCGCTCAGCCAGTGAGCGGCTGGTCTGTACGTGGGATCCGAACCCTCGGCGGGAGCATCGCCACACTCCCAAGCGGCGCACTGTAGCAGTGCGCCACCGGGCCAGCCCCCTATGCTCCATGTTGAGTTAATTTGTGTATATGGTATGTAAGGATTCAAGAATTGTTCCTGAACCATTTCTTGAAAAGACTCTCTTTTCTGCACTGAATTGTCTTGGTCAAAAATCAATAGATCATATATGTATAGGTGGGTCTATTTCTGGA